CATGGTAAGCATTTGGTCTCACCAGCAATCCCTCCGCATTGATGCCCACAGGCAAGTGTTCGACAACATGCCGTAGTAGAATACCGTACACAGTCCGGATGTGAGCAAACACCGACGAACTAGACATTTGAGACATAATCAAAAAATTCATAGAATAAATCTTCAAACTATGTTTATATTGAAGCAGACTTGAAAGTAGCAACTTTGCTGCGTTTCTTGCATATTTTTGCACGAAAAACCCTTATATTATTCTTTGCAAGCAATAGGTTACTCTGCTACAGTAATCGTTGAAGAAGGATCTTAGTCTGAAAATTGCTGAGAGATGGTAATAATAATGCATTACTTGGTTATGTGGATCCAGTGGATTCCCACAAAATCTGCATACTGTCGGAGAAGATCTCGCAGCTGAAATATTTGCTGCGCTGGCAAATGCAAAAAATGGATCAGCCGGTAATTCCACTAAGCCATTAAGAGATTCTCCATGGAACAGTATCTGCAAGAGACTGCATAGGAGAAGGATTGAAAAATGAATGACGACCTTGAGAAATCCACCAACCAAAAGATTTGCAACTCTCATTCTAGCGCATCCTTGATGAATGTCAATCTCTTCCAAACGAGCCGGAGGTGGTGCCAAAGAGGTGACACGATGAGAACGCTTTCGTTTTTGTAAGTGCATGACAGAGAAGCACTCCCGACACAGCGCACATTCACAGTCAGAGCAAAATACCTAAAGCGAAACTAGGGCGCATCGTGTGTGAGAGCAGCCTCAGCTTTACCTGAGCCGGAGTCACGCCATCGTCGTGGTTTTCGCACAAAGTGATCGGCCCTTGATTGGGTGTAGGTACATCGTTCCATTTCTCACTAAGTGCCAGCCATGAGCGATCACGAACTAGGGCTAAGGCGGCGACAGAAAGCCAGAACCTTAAATTTGAGTTTTAAATTAGTGTTCAGTTCTATGATGAAAACAACAAAGTGATTTTGCTCGCTCACCTTTTAGAGTTCAATATGGATGGAACAGACTCCCTATTCATGCTTTCTCTTGAACTAGACTTTGACAGTGACGTGGTTAACTGAACAACACCCAGTAGAGCAGTCGCCAACTCTCGCCGCATGCAAACTGACCAGTCTTCGTTGAATG